TGGTTTGGGGGCCATACCTGGCCGTGCTCAGGGTTCCCTTTTGATGCTCTCCTCAATGTTCACGCACGGTGGTGCTCAGTGCTTACACCTGGTTCTGTGCTCAGGGTGACTTTTGGTGGTGCTCAGAGAATGACATGCAGTGCCGGGGATTGAAGCGGGGATGACTGCATCAAGGCAAATGCGTTTCCAATCCTCCGACTGTCATCTTCTCTGAGGGCCTGCCTCTCCGAAACCCCGTACATTTTCCCTCTTCACCAATTCTGTCAAAACTGGTATGTCCTAAGTCTATTTCTATCTGGGTATTCTGCCTAAGAAATATTGTCCCTTATGTCATTAACCAATAAGTATATCCTAATAATAATTAAAAAAAAAGATACTTGGCTGTCCTCACCGGGGCCCCTTGGAGGGGAGTGGGTTGAGTTTCCCTCCCTGCTCTGAGCAGATTGCTGGCAACTGAAGACCTCTGGAGTCCAGCCAGTCATGCTTAAGACCACTCTCCACACGCTTGGATGAGGTGCGCGGGACCCCGGGCTAAGATCTCCAAGCCTGCTCAGATCGGGACTGGGCCTCCTCCACCCACCCAGATCCCCCATCTTCCAGTAGCTAGACAGTTACGCCCACCAACTGCTGTGTAATCCCACCAACGGCCAAGGCCCAGAGACTGTAAAACCAAGCTCCCGGAAGACTTCTTTCTCAGAGAACCCAGCAGGCTACCGAAAGTATCCTGCCCACATATATGTGCCTGACTGGGAACACCTGTAAAGGTGATTAGAGGCTGCCCCCAAAGCCTCCATCCCTCTCAGAGAGCCTGGCAAGCTACCCGTGACGTACTTGATATGCCAAAAACAGTAACAATGATGGTCCTCATTCCTCTGACCCTGAAAGAGCCCCAATATGCCATTGGGCTACACTAGCACGTGACAGGGACAAATGGAGATGTTACTGGCGCCCATTCAAGCAAACCCATGAACAACGGATGACAGTGATACAATGATACAGTGAATAATGACGATGATGATGATGATGATATACTTGTGATATCACTTTTCTCATTTCTCACAACACATTTTCACTTTATTTAAAACATTTGAGAGGTGAGGACTACTGGCAGTCTTTTTGATTAATTGTTTTTGGTGGTGCCGGGAATTGAACCCAGGGCCTCACATACACAAGGCAAATGCTTTACCCAATCCACATCCCTACTGTCCACTTCCTTCTGCCCTGTGCCCTCATGCCCAAACTTTTGTTGGTTTAGTTTTTTTTTGGTGGGGAGAGGGTCACATATGGTAGAGCTGGGGTGCAGTGGGGAGTTACTCCTGGCTCTGTGCTCATGGGTAGCTCCCAGTGCTGCTCAGGTGACTACGTGGTAGCAGGGATCAAACTCAGGCTTCATGTATACAAAATTTGCACTCGGTCTGTTGGACTGTCTCTCTGCTGAAGATAATTATTTTTTACCATTGAATCACCGTGGGATACAAGTACAAATCTTTCATGATTGAGTTTCAGTCATACAATGATTGAAGACCCAGCCCTCCACCACTGCACATTTTCCACCACCAATGTCCCCAGTATCCACCCCGCTACTTACCCCCCACCCCCACCTCTATGGCAGACAATTTCCTTCTTACTTTCTCTCTATTTTTGGGCATTATGGTTTGCGATACAGATACTGAGAGGCCATCATGTTTGGTCTGAAGATCATTTTTATTTTGTATTATTTATTCATGAGCTTTCCTTTTTTTTTTTTTTTTTTTTTTTTTTTGCTTTTTGGGTCACACCCGGCGATGCACAGGGGTTACTCCTGGCTCTTCACTCAGGAATCGCTCCTGGCAGTGCTCAGGGGACCAAATAGGATGCTGGGAATCAAACCCGGGTAGGCCGTGTGCAAGGCAAACCCCCTACCCACTGTGCTATCGTTCCAGCCCCGAGCTTTCATTTTTGTGGGAGTCCACATCCAGAAGTGCTCTGGGGCCCATGCTTTCTCACACATGCTGAGCCATATCTCATTCCCATATTCCTATCATCATCATTATTATTTATATTATTTGGGGGTTGGGGCCTTACCCAGCAATGCTTGATACTGGTACGTGTGTGGGGGTCTCATTCCTCATGGTTCTCTGGGGATTATTGAGTGCCTGTGATCAAACTTTGGGCTCCTGAATGCAAAACATGTGCTCATCCCTTTAAATCATCTGCCTGACTCCACATTTTCATTTTCAACTTTATATATAATTTTATATTATAATATATGATATATTATGACATAAATTATATGTTAATATGTATATTTATCTTATAAGGAATAAAGGCTAAAATTGAAAAAGTGACTAGTTTGTGATAGGAAGTCTAAAACTCAATGTAAGTTAGAGTTTCGAAGTGGGTGGGTTTCTTAGAACACACCACAAAAATAATTTGCTTTCTCTTTCATAGGAAATACAAAGGTAGAGGTTTAAGATAATTCATATAACTTCTGTTTTATCTGTAAGACTTTAGGAATGATTTTTGCTCAAAGAAGATCGCTGAAAAGGCTGAGACTCTGTGTTGCATGTGGGAGGTCCAGATTCAATCCCTGGAACTCCCTGGAGGTACCCCAGCACAGAGGAAATAGCCTCTGAGCACTGCAGGCTGTGGTCCAAAGAGAAACAAGCAAAAACCAAAACCCCCACAAAATTTTAGGAACAATTTAGATACGGCAGTTGGAAGATTCAGCATAGCTGAGACCAATGAAGAGAAAAGTGAAAACAGTGAAAAGTAAGGCTTCATGTGAGGTGCCTGTTACCACCCTTAAGGCTCATGCCCTCAGGAATTACTCCTGGCAGTGCCCAGGGGACCATATGGGATGCTGGGAGTTGAGCCTGAGTCGGCCACTTGCAAGGCAAATGCCCTCCCCGCTGTGCTATCGCTCCAGCCTCAAGGATTATCTTTTTCTAAAGGGCCATATGCAGCTCCATGGCACATCACAGGCTTGTGTGCAGGGGGCCTGAATTTGATTGGCAGCACCACAGGATCCCCCAGTCTTTGCCAGAGATGAGCTCTGGGTACCAGGCTAGGAGTAGCCCCTGGGCACAGGTGCTTGAGGGTCAAAAGAGGAAAAAAATAAAACAAAGTTTTGTTTCCGCGAAAAGGCTGAAATATCTTGGAGCATAAAAATGTGACTGGATTTCAAGTATGAGGAAATGGCCCAGGATTATCATTTCTCTATAAAAGCTCAGGCCACATCATTATTTTCTTGCACTATCCCTTGTGTTTAGTGCAAGGTTTCTTCCTTCCTACACTGAGGAATACTTGCCCTTCAGTGGTGTCTCCTTGGACCACCATTATCTGCATTTTGGGGAATATCTTTGCTCCTTCCTTCCTTCCTTCCTTCCTTCCTCCCTCCCTCCCTCACTCCCTCCCTCCTTCCTCCCTCCCTCCCTCCCTCCTTCCTTCCTCCCTCCCTCCCTCCCTCCCTCCCTCCCTCCTTCCTTCCTTCCTTCCTTCTTTCCTTCCTTCCTTCTTCCCTCCCTCCCTTCCTTCCTTCCATTTGGTTTTTGGGCCACACCCGACAGTGCTCAGGGATAACTCCTGGGTCTTGCACTCCTGACAGTTCTCAGGAGACCAAATGGGATGATTGGGATCGAACCCGGGTCAGACAAACTCCCTGCCCACAGCACTATCTCTCCTGTCCCTCCTTTCTGTTCTCTTTCAATGCTTTGCTTCAATCCCCCGCCCCAAACCCAGCTAAGTCTAAATAGGGCTTTGATTAACAAATCATTTTTCTTCTCTTTAGACACCAAATTATATATCCTGTTCTCTAATATATAACTTTGTAAAACTGCTATTACACAAACATTTCAAATGCACAATTAAAAAATGTGATTTTTAGTATTAGAATATTTTATAACATTTATCAATACAATAGTAATAGCCATCCGAACAGTTTGAAAAATACAACCTATGTTCCCCTTATAACATTCGATACACTATCCTCCCGTTGTTCATCGATTTGCTTGAGTGGGCACCAGTAAAGTCTCCATCGTGAGACCTGTTGTTACTGTGTTTGGCATATTGAATACATCACAGGGAGCTTGCCAGGCTTTGCCGTGCAGGCGGGATACTCTTGGGAGCTTGCCGGGCTCTCTGAGAGGGGCGGAGGAATTGAACCTGGGTTGGCTGAGTGCAAGGCAAGCACCCTACCTGCTGTGCTATGCTCCAGCCCCATAAGAAAATATCATTGGAAAAAGTGTTGTTAATAGTGCAGTTGTTATGGGATCAAAGCAATAGTATTATTGGGTAGAGTAAATTCTTATTTTCCAAGATATTTTAGCCTTTTAGTGGAAACAAAACTTTGTTTTACCTTTTTTCTTTTTGAGCCTCAACCACCTTGCACACCGCCCACCGCTAGTCCAATCCCCTGCAACCTATATGGCCCGCCAAGCCCTTCCAGGAGTGATGCCTGAGTGCGGAGGTAGGAGTAAGCCCTGAGCACAGCTGGGTGGTCCCCCCAAAAATAGTGCACAGCTGTTAATATAATAGTTCTAGTTAAGACTTGTACAGCTGCTGGTAGGATGCTTGCCTTGTGCAAGCCCGACCCAGGTTTAGTCCGTGGCCTCCTGTATGTTTCCCCCAAGTCCCATCAGGACTAATTCCTGAGTGCAGGGTCAGTAGAACCCCCAGACCATCACCAGGTGTGATCCCAAAACAAAACCAAACAAAAACGGAAATGTATACTGATAGCTATTTCTGGACATCTAGAGAAATTAATTAGGGTTCACTGTAAAACTAGAAACTCACTTACCCCTAATAGAGTGACATCCATTTCTTTTTATTTTTTAATTAGTGAATCACTGTGAGGTACAGTTACAAACTTATGAACTTTCATATCTCAGTCATACAATAATCGTCTACCCATCCCTCCGCCAGTGCCCATTCTCCATTCTTTTTATATAAAATACCCACCCAAACCAATATTTAGGGACACCCAGAGTCTGCTGACTTAAAAATGAAGAAATGCCACTGACCTTTGACCAGTAGTTTCACGTTGGCCCGATGTTTCACTTCGTATGACACTTGGTTCAGCTTCTGAATGATGCAGGTGTAGGTGCCGTTGTCAGACAGGCGGAGACCCAAGATGGCAATGGAATGGTTATTGCTGAAGTCAGGGATGGTGCGATTCTCATACTTCTTCCACACCTTTGTTTGCCCGTTTATGACAGACAGCACCATGTCATTTTGCTTTTGCCAGTAGATACGCATTTTTGCCAGTTCAAGAGTGGAAATGTTGTAACCGCAGGGCAGAATTGCAATATCGTTCACGGTCTTGTTCACCTGGGGGGTGCCTGAGGGCAAATGAGCAGAATAATCTTTTTTTGTTTGCTTTTTTTGGGGGGGGTTCACACCCAGTGATGCACAGGAGTTACTCCTGGCTCAGGCACTCAGGAATTACTCCTGGTGTTGCTCAGGGGAACATATGGGATGCTGAGAATCGAACCAGATTCTCACATGCAAGGCAAAAGCCCTGCCTGCTGTGCTATTGCTCCAGCCCCATGAACAGAATAATCTTTTCTATTTATGAAATCTAGATTCCAATAGAAGCAGAAGCAGAAATTCGGAGGTGACAGCAACAGACATGGAAAGTTTTACCTAGTGACTAACCATGATCAGAAAGATTGACTTCATGTTTATTTATTTGTTGATGCCCTGTGCTTTAGGGGGCGGGGTGAGTACAGCAGGTCGGGTTCTTGCATTGCACACTGCTTATCTGGGTTTTTCATCCCCGGCACCTAGGTTCCATCACCCTATGGTGCTCCCAAAATCTAGAGAAAAAAAAACATAACAAAACCCAAGTGATAGCACAGTGGGTACTGTGCTTGCCTTACATGCAGCCACACTGGGATCACAGTTGGATCTCTAGCACTGCATATGGTCAGGGAGCACTTCCAGGAGTCATTTCTAAGCCCAGAGTCAGAACCAGTTCATGAGCATCGGTGGGTGTGGCCCCATGCACAAAACCACCCCGACCTTGTGGTTGACCTAAAACATACCAAAATGACCTAAAACATACCAGCAAGATTGCTTAAAGGACTGTAGTGCATACTGTGCATGTGGAGACCCTGAGTTGAATCCCTGGCACCGACTGGCTTCCCCAAGCATCAAGTCTTCATCGACTGACCAAATACTGCTGGAAGGGGCCCCTAGGTACCCCTAGAATAACATAACACTTGTGTTGCTGCCCAAATAACTATATAACCGTTTTAAAGTATATAGTTTAGCAGCGCTAGGTGTATTCATGTTGTGAAACAGATATCCAGAACTTTTTCTTTTGTCAAATATCAAAACCTCAGCATCAATCAGCCCCCATCCCACCTATGGTCATCACCATTCAAATGTCTCGTCTGCAAACTTGAAGACTCCAGATAAGTCATGTAAGTGGAAAAATACCTGTCTGTTTGTGGCTGCTTTATTTCATTCCTCATAGTGTCCTCAAAGTCCATTTATGTTCGTTCTTGTTTATTGATCTCATGCCAGAAGTGCCTCTCTTTTCAAGGAATTATGATAATAAAAAGTATCCCTACATCTACAGAAAAATGTATGTAGTTGTACATATTTTCCTTTAATTTAGACATCACATTTATTTGTTGGAAAGGGAAAGGGGAACCACTTGACAGTTGCACATATTTTCCTTTCATTCATTAATTTGTTGAATGTTTTGGACAGTTGAATTGCTACCACATCTTGCAGAATTCACTACTGTGAATTGTATGATATGCAGTTGAGTATGTGACTATCTCTTTAAGACCCTACTTTATACGTATATAAAGTAGGTGGTGGTATTTCTGGGTTGTAGTATAATTCCACTTTAAATATTTTGAGAGAATGCCACACTGTCTTCCATAGTAAATGTCCTCCCAGTACTTTGAAGGGTTTGGAAGTCCTAAAGTATGATTGCATAAGAAGTAAATTAGAGAGGCCAGAGAAATATTACAGCTGGTCAGGCACCTGTTGGCATGTAGCAGACTGAGTTTGATCCCTGGCTAAAATACTGTCCCCTGGACACTTCCAGGAGTGATCTCAGAGCACTGTCAAGTGGCTTTCCCTTTCCCTTTCCAACAAATAAATGTGATGTCTGTATAATTGCAACAGATTGCTAAAACCAGACTTAGGAACCAAATCATTATCATGCAATCCATGCCCTTCCTTCTTATTACGAATTTTACAAAAATTATGTTTGAGGGTCACACTCAGTGGTGCTTAGGACTTACGTCTGGATTTGCAGTCAGGATCATTTCTGGCAGGTTTGGGAGATCAAATGGGATGCTGGCGACCAAACTCAGGTCAAGGCAAGCACCTTAGCCACTGTCCTATCATTCTGGTCCCACTTCTTCTTGAGAATTCTTAAACCCTCATCTTAAATCAGGATATGAACCTTCTCTCAGATCAGGCACATTTTAGTCTTATTGCTTTATTTGTTTAATTCTTTGCTATGCAACATAGCACCACTCCTAGGAGAACTTGTTCCTAATCAACTTCTCAGCTGGGGAGGATAATGATGAGGTGAAGGTATCCCTATCCATCTCTGCCAGATGCATTTTTTGAATTACTTTTTTTGGGGGGGGAAGAGGGGGTGTTGTTTTTGGTTTTAGCCAGGCACAGTTTTGCTCAGGGTTCTCTCCTGACTCTGTGCACAGGGGTCACTCCTGGAAGTGCCCAGAAGAGCATATGTGGTGCTGGGGATGGACCCTGAGCCAGATGCATGCACGGCAAGCACCTTAATCCCTGTACTGTCTCTCTGGCCTCATGCTGAATTGTTATTCACTCTCTTGATCATCTCCTATTTTGCTGCTTCTGTGGTTTCTCTTTGAAGAACAAGTACTATTTTATGCAACGCCCCCGAACAATGCTATAAAGCCTATGTATTATTGTTCTCCATTCACATGTGAAGCATTTGCGTCTCAGAGCAGTTCAAATGCCTAGAATATGATCCCACACCAGGCTGTCTTTCGCCAGGGCAACTCAGAGTGGGGCAGATTGAGTTTCCCTTTCCACCTCAGTAGGACCTCGGCAGCCGAAAACCTCCAGAACCCAACCGCACAGCCATGCTCAAGGTCGCTCTCCATAGGCTCAGATGAGCCTCACCAATGATGGAACCTGCAGAAAAACCCAGATGTGCTGGGCCTGTGACTGAGATCTCCAGCCTTGCTCAGAAGGGGACTGGGCATCCTCCCCCCAGCTCCCCAGTTTTCCAGTGGCTTGGCAGTCATACCCAAAAACTGTCCCTGGCACCATATAATCTCATCAACGGCCAAGATCTAGAGACTATGAAATAAAGCTTCTGGAAGAGAGCAACACAGAATGTCCTGGAGCAAATGCGGCCATGCAACCTCTTATAGTCTAGCCCACTGATGTACCAAAAGTAGCACACATTTGTTTGGGTTTAACATACATGCTTGTAATCTCTTATACAAGGGCTTAAATGGCTCAGGATGAAATTCAACAATCTTCATACACTTTCCTCTTATGGCAGTGGGAAGGTGCACGATGGTGGGATTGGTGTTTGAATATTATTTGTAATGAACTATTGTGAACAGTCTTATAAAAATAAAATAAAATTTAAAAAAATGCCTAGGACAAGTAGGACAATTCTAAATTTCTGTGATTGCACAAGTATCACAGAAGAAGAGAAAGGAATGACTATAATCCAGAAGAAAAAAGGTTTGTAATTTGAACAGAGAATATAAATGATCCTCATCTTTCAAAGATTATGCATTTATAAATTTTTCTACTCTAATTTTTTTTGTAATCCCAAAGTATTTGTGACGTATTCACAGTAACCCTCAAACATGCACAGTTATCTAAACTTTGCTCAGTCTGACAAGTACTTTCCCAGCTGAGGGAAAACAAGGCAACTCTGTCTTTTTATTTCTACTCTCGTGCTCAAAGTAAGGGTCCATTCTATGACCTACATAGTGCCCCACTTTCTCACACTTTGGTTCTTTTTTATGCCGATTCTTCTGTTTATATGGCCTTCAACAACTGGGATAGAGAAAGGATCACTAAGACAATGATGGTTGGAGGGATCACTCAGGAGATGTGTGCTGAAAGTAGATAAAGGACCAAACATGATGGCGTCTCAGTATTTGTACTGCAAACCATAATGCCCATAAGTAGAGAGAGAGTAAGAAGGAAATTGTCTGCCATAGAGGCAGGGGGAGAGGTGGGGCGGGGGCAGGAGGGATACTAGGGACATTCGTGGTGGAAAACATACACTGGTGGAAGGATGGTTGTTCAATCATTGTATTACTGAAACTCAAACATGAAAGTTTTGTGACTGCAGCTTACAATGATTCAATTAAAAAAATGAAATAAAATAAAATAGCCCTTAAGAGCCAGGGATAGCTTAGCACCACAGGTGGCCAAGTGAGAACCCCAGCACAGCCATCGTGGTTGCCAGCACCAGCCACTAGTATATAGATTCTGTTTGCTTTTTGTTTGTTTGTTTGAGGGCCATACCTCTCAGGGCTCAGTGGTTACTCCTGGCTCTGCACTCAGGGGTTATTCCTTGCAGTGCTTGGGGGATTGTATGGAATATCAGGTATAGAAACCAGGTAGAGAGCTGCCATCCAGTTAAAAATTTAACTCCGACTGTATCACCTTGTTAAAAATTTTGAACACCCTGGAGTACGTGGCCCCATTTGCAGCCACATGACATCTCAAACTCTACCACACTGATAAACCAGGAGTAACACACTAGATTTGATGGGATTTAATGTAGAAGACAACCAGTGTTGTTTAACAAAATATATACACAAAGAACTTAATTTGTAACACATCTTAGTAATCTCTTATATAAGACCTTAGTAGCTCCATGGTGAAATACAACAATATTCACTAACTCTCTTCTAAGGAAACATTTTTTGATCATCCTTTTACCAAACTATTTATAACAAGCAATATAAAATAAATTATTGGGAGGAGGTTTAAGGGATAGTTGGGAAATTTGAAAATAATGGTGGTGGGAAGGTGCAGTGGTGTTGGGATTGGTGTTGGAATATTGACGACTTAATAAAGTTATAAAATCAGAAAAAAAAAGAGAAAAAAACCAGGTAGACCACATGCAAGGCAAACAAACACCCTACCAGCTGTACTATCTCTCTGCAGCTGTATACAACTTTTCTACACTGCAACAATGGCAACAACAAAGAGAAAAAAAAAAAGGCGGCCAATTTTAAAATGAAACTAAAAGAAATAAACAGGAGGAGAACAGATGCCCTGACTTGGGTCTAGGCCTAGCCCTGCCAGTTGCTGATGAATATTTTTTCTTCTGTGAGAAAAAAGCAGG